TCAATAGCAGAAACACATTAGCTGCGCAATTGAATTTCTAGCGTGTTTACTTTACCTATTGAAACGCGTCCGTCTAAAATAAATTTGTGAGTGTTCTAATAATTATTTATTATATACAATGATAAAGGGATGTTTTAACCATTGAGTGAATTAATTTCAGGAGATGGTTAGTTTCTCTTTATCGTAGTGTATAATACAAAACTTTATTTTATAGCAGAAGCCACATAAATCATTGTAAAGCTTCTGACAATTCTGAATTTAATTAATACCTCAAAAATAGCAAGCTTAGGTTTTTCCGGCGCGGTCGTTTCCATAAAAACAGCAATGTAATATGTTCTAATAGTACATTATATATCAAGGTAGAGAAGTACAGTATTATTGCCTGAGCACCAAGATTACATCTCGAGGCGCTTGCGCCGAGGGGTGTAAGGTGCGAAGGCAATAATAGACTTCTCTATCGTGGTATATATACTATTTTTTTCACTACTAGCACTTGAAGTCCTCTAAATTAACATATTATATTGATAAGAAAGTGGTTGGATAGAATTTTTTTTATTAATTTAACATGTCAATCAAGTACGTGGAAGTACAAGTCAAACAGGCCGTATTTTGTTCTGTCATTGAGATATTTTCAAAGAGTAATTTCGTTCGAATTTTTTCAAAATCTGATAATTTTAGGTATGTAATTTCTCTGGAAATGGCGGATGATGGCAATTATTCATTTTAGAGAACTTGTCTAAACGTTTATTGAGCGAAATTTCGGGTTGTGTTTTCTAAAAGTGACAGCGTGACAGTTCTCATTATTGACTACTAGTTAATAATATCCACATTATTAACCACTTTGAACAAATGCCGAGAAAGGCTACTTTACAAGTGGAAAAAAGGTTAATAATCATGTCATCAGACGCTAGTAGTGAAAAAACGTTATTTTATATCGCGTGACGTTTGAATTAACAATGATAGATGTCATAAGACTGCACAATCATCTGTTTTACTTTATCTATCCTAACGGTTAAATTGATTACTTTATCTACCCTCATGGTTAAAGAGCGACGTAGCCTACTCATTCAAACCTATTAAAGTCATTTTAAAAATAAATGAATTTCTCTTTAATAATAATAAATAAATAAAATAAATGAACTTTTTTAATTCAAGAGGTGATTTCACCCTTCTGACGACTGCTTGTAAAAATCAGATATGCGCATACGCAAACTGTGCAATGCCAACTTTACTTACGGAGACATTTTTTTGAAATTTTAACCATAGATCCTTCTAGCAAAGAAAAACATAGCACATGTAGCTATGACCTTTTGGAAAATGTTAAATAGATTTATTAAATTCAATTACGAATTTCATCCCTGTAGATGGTTGCTAGATGATTTCAATTTTTTTCGTACAATTTTATTATACAGGGTGCCCATTATGTATGGAATATAGTACATCTCGATAAATATCGAATGTATACAACAATTTTCTATATGAAAGTTGTTTAACATTTTATTTTCCATAATAAGGCAGGATTCAGTTGTTTTTATTTCAGAAAACAAATGAGTAACGAAAAATAATTGATGTCTTTTTAAGTAGGAATGCACCCTTTTATTGGCATCATTTGATAGAATTTTTTTTTCTCTTTTCGATGATGTAACATCAATGTTAGTACCCTTACCTATAGATATAAGTATAAGAACATTTTTCAAAAAAATTTATTATAATTACATCAATAACATTAATCTAGATATCCTACATGAAAATAAAACAAATGAACGCGTACGTTAGGTAAAGTAAATTATTTATTAGATTTTACTTTAAAAGCAACTTCAGTACATAGTGCGCTAGTCTTCGCGGAACGGTACGGGATCTCGAGCGCCACCAGTAGTTTTTGAAATTAAACGGCACGGTAAAATGCGAAAATTCAACGTACCACTTTGCATGCTGACGCCAAAAGGTGCAAAAAGATCCCCTCTAAACGACGGCGCACTTCATTTGATAACGTTTGTTGCAACACAATTAATTAACAACGGTTAATTTTACTCACTTAATTGGCAGGATTGAAATTTGTAAAGTTATAAGTCCAGTTATGCTCCTTTTTACTTGTAATATTTAGGCCCTTCACAAAGGTCCACGTGATCCATGCAAACTGTACGGTCTTGCAATTTTATACTAGTTTTCAATTAACACTGGGAATCTAAAATCGACCAATAATGACATAAAAGACCTGAAATCCAACAATATTAAATTTTCCTCCACTTCCATCGAAGAAAGCTTTTGGAAAATGTGCTAAAAATACTCGCGAAGGCAAAATATTATGCAATCTGGTGTCTGCAAGTATATAACGCTACATTTTTTCATTTGGTGACCGCAAATGAAAATATGCGAACGTAATAACAATACCAAACCGGTCGAGTCACTTTCGAAATATATTCCGGAAAACTCGTCCATAATCACGTAAATTCCCCCAGAGCAACAGTAACGAAATTATTCTTGATCTTGCTTGAACGTGGACGAAATTCAATCTTTCAGTATAAATTACAAAATAGCGTGTTGCGTGACGATAGCTTTTAAGAGCTCACATTTTTCCTCGTCATTTATTATCAAAGTAACCAAATTAAGTGTGTTGCGTGTATAGCCATCCACCTGCTAATCGCCCTGATTATTTTATCACATCTAAGGCCCCACAGGAGACTTTTTTTCTAAACATCCTTGAGTTAGTTCATACTAAGAGAATGAAACTTTAAAGTGGTAACATAGAGAGCTGTAAAGCGGTACATTTCGGTAGTAAGGTGTGGAAGATTAATATTGCAAATCCAATTTCATCAAAGTCAAAGCTCCTCCGTAAGTTTAGTTTGGTTGGTAACTTCAATCTTGGGGTTATTAAAAAAAATTGAAATTATTGGATAAAATTATAAGACGCTCTTTAGAAATTGAATGTAGTGTTAATTCTGTATAACAATTTTTAAACGCATTTTGCTAAAGCATGCTTGCAGTGTTACATTAATCTAAGCTAGAACTATTTTATAGAAACCAATTAAAAAATAATTAGTTAATCTAGGAGAGCGAATTTTACTGTAGCAAATTTATTACGGTAATCCTCTACTTAGGTAATTGATATTAACAAATTACCGTAATAATATCATAGAGGGAAAATCTAGGTATTAGCTCCACGTTAATTAACGTAAAGCTCCAAATATAAAACGGTCACTCATTCACAATACACAAACAGGGCGTGTATTAAGTTACCCTTTTCGTAATGGATTACACTTCAATCCAGGCTTCAATCCCTTGTGCAAGACGAGAAGGTTAAATATTTACCTCTTTTAAGAATACGGCAATGAACACTGTAAAAAGCTAGACGCAAATAATAGTCAGTTTTGAATTAGTATTCCGTGTGCAACTTAGTGTTATTATTATTATTAGGCATCAGAATTCGCAGAAAAATACATAGATTCCGTATATTTATTTATTTTTGAGCGGGCGGGGTTTCAGCCACTCCAACCCAACCCACTGTACATTTATAAATATCCATACCCGAACCTGGATTCGAACTAAGGACCCTTAGTACCGCAATCCAGCTTCAACTGAACTGCGCCACACGGGCCGGCATCAATGAGGCGTACATGGCCCAGGTCTGCCAGAAGGGAGATAACTACCCTTAAATCACCCTTACAGGAAAGAATATTTTGCTGGGAACAAATGATTTAAAAAAATGCAGAGACTTATGTATTTATATATTTTATTTTATTTTTATTTTTTTATTTTATTTTATCCCTCTCTTGTTTTGGGCCCTCAACAGGCATGCGCCCAATTACAGAGTGACCCGCATAATGCTATTTAGAGGTGCCTCTGCAGAAGGTCTTAAGTTGGTCTATACTACTCCGGTATTTACCTTACGAATTAGGAAAACTGCAGGAAAACCTAATTCGGAGCAGCCGGTAGAATGCTCGGAACTGGTCTAAGGTAATTTCCATCTTTTTTTCAATTTGAAGAAGAATTTTACAACAAACCTTATGGCGCAGGAGTTCGGATGGTCCCCAGTGCCTGTTGAGAACGAGGCCGAGCGGGCAGGCCTCACTCGACCGTAGCGGCTACTCGGCGTTGTTGAACTGAGTAGAGAAAATGTTGTAGTTGTGAAGAGAATTAGGACCAAGGTGGAGGTACCTTCATTGATACTCCTAACCTGATACTTACATTCAATGCCACCCCAACTACCAAGGGTGATTAATGCGGCTTTTTATGCATTGAAAGTGAGACCGTATGTTCCGCAACCAATGCGATGTTACAAATGTGAACGTTTCGGACATACAACTCTAAAATGTCACAATGAACAAGTAGGTTATGTGCCTGTGGAAAATCTTTGCATCCGAATTCTCCATGTGACGATCCAGTTGTCAACGGTAAACATCCTTCAAACTCCGATGATACGTTACTTGCCTGGTTATGCAATTTAAAATATAGCCAAATATTGACATGTCGCGATATCTGTTTAAATGTTTATTTGCACACATCTTAACTAAAGTCCTTTAATTAATTTAAAATACGTTCAATTTTCCCACATAATAATCTCCTCAAAGGAGCAATTTTAATTAAAGGAGATTACTAATCAACGAGTGTCACATACTAATTAGACGTTCTCCGAGCCATTTCCGCCTAAGTTTTCAATTGCAAGCGTATTATAATTGACTAGCTCTAGGAGTAGTTAACGTTATCGCCCATTTTGAAATATTGGCTTTCGGAACCGCCTAATTTCAATGTTAATACGCGTTCAAATTACAAATAATTGCACATATTATGGAGATTGGTTACAGAATATTTTATTACATCAATAAATTGTGCTCGACATAAAATGGAAGTCAGGATTTTCACATAAAATCCGCCGCTTTTATGACAATATATAAAAATGTATTGCTCGGTGGTGCAAAAAAATTAACGGCATGTATAATTTTAATAATTTGCATTATAATTAATCTCATCCGCAGAATGATTATTGTATCTTTTTATTTCAGACGAAGACGGCGTTTTATTCAACATGGCTCTGCAATGGGATAAACTATCACCAGCAGAATTTGAGCAGCTACAGGATTTTGCTTCTTGTAAGTATAATTTTTTATTATCTTTCTGATGCGCTCAAAATAAATGGGCCACGACTTTTTACCACACAGTAATAAACGCTCAAAGACTCTATTAGGTTAATATTTCACTTAATCATTACATCATAGCCCGAGATTTAGAATGCAAGAGTTTTCAGCATGGTTTTGTTTTCATTTACCACTACACGAAAAAAGGTTATTGTGTGACAAATTGACGATATCCTTGTATTTTTTTAGACTGGGTGATTCTCAAATTTGTGTAGTAAAACAATGCGCTTCGGAAGTTGAATAGTCGTAAAAATGGAAACTATTTTATGTACGGACTTTGAAATTACATTTTGTTGGGGTGAAGGGATGGAGTGTGTGGGCGATTTATGAGGGAGATTTTAGAGTATCATCATCGATACCTCTCTCGTCGAGATTATTTGTCCCAACAATTGATGTAGTATGAAATCCAATTTAGTGTGATATAAAAATACCGGAGTTGGCATGCCGTCTCTATTTTGTAAGCCGTTTTGATTTATTTATTCACTAATGCGTTTAGTAATTACAGTAGAATCGGGGATGAAAGATTAGTTTACCCTGTAGTTGTAGAGAAAGGAGAATTTTATTACAGCATTGATGAATAAATGAACTCGCCTTTTCTTCTCGTAAAAAATGTAACATTTACTTTTGGAATTTGATTGCATTTAGGGGTTGTGTTTGCACATTTCCAAATAAATTTCCTAATCTCTAGGAGCCCAGGTCTTCGGGATAAACCAATTTACATGCTTGATCTGTTTGTTGAAACCGAGGTTGAAACCAGTCCACAATCCAATATGAAATATTACACTTGACACGGGGGTAGTAACCAAATTAACGTTGCTCTGATTACAGAAGAAGCGCCAGTTTAAAGAAACGTACAGAGGGAACCTAAAATTCATAAAACCAAAACTGTAAGTAATTCTAAGTTTAACTGGTAGTGTATTTGTAATGGTTACTTTCCATTTGATTCTCTCGTGTCATTGTAATTAAAATAAAAATCTGTGTAATTTGACGCAAGTTGTGTGTTAATTCGGACCTTTCATTAGGAACGACCAAAGAAGTTTCATGTTCAAATCATGATTAATTTTATTGAATTTGTGCCCAAAGTTCGTTTTGAGTGTTAGTCAAAAATTAATTACAGTTCATTTGGAATCTGAAGATTTTGAGCTCGACCACTGTCTTCTGGGAGTTAAAAAATAATTGAGGGAGTATACAATCGCATTCTTCTGTACAGGGGTGAAGGTCTGTGCCGGGAAAACGGTAAAATTGAAGAGCTAGCTAGGGCTGTAGTGTTTTGTGCTTGAACCTTTTTGGGCCTGGGATCAATGCACACAGCATTTTTATTTGCTCACCCAACATTTATTTTTTGTGTGTTTCCCTAAATTAAATTGTAAGTTTTTACGCAAAAAATGTTTAATGACCTCCTGTAAAATCCATATAATTAATATTAGTATGGATATCATTCCAATTGAATTTTATTTCAAAGAACTCAGCTGATCCGTTTGGATGGTTGCCAATTGAACATATATTTGTCTCCACTGTTATTAATCGCCGATAGATCAAAGAAATTCTTTTCGTATTTTATTTTGCATGGGTTCAATGATAAACGATTTTTTTTTGGTTAACTTTATGTCAAAGCTATGAATTCGAATGACACAGGACAAATAAACAGATTGTAAACATAACATTAATCTCTTTGGGAATTACTACATTGAATTTTATGCGTGTTCAACATCTTTGACTATTTCGTCAAAGTCGTTATTTTCAGTACAAACTTATTTGTATGAAACAAAATTCAATATGACTTTTCCGCTCACCGGCAAGTAATAATGAAGAAGATTAGAAAAACAAAGCAGTTGCCTTTCAGCATTTCTCATTATAAGTATTTTATTTTAATTTCCAAAGGGAAACAGGAAAGCCGTCTTTATGTTTAACATTATAAAATACCTTATACTTATTCCGGAGCTTTGCAGATACGTGCCTCTTTCCCTGTTTCGAACTACCTATTTCCCTACCTCGCGATTTTCGGTAACTTATTTATTGTCGATTTTGAATATTTTGCGAAACGTACAACCACAAATGAATGGATCGGCAATCCAACTCCTTTGAACGTGTAAAGCTTGAAAAATAACACGCATATAACCAACAGTCAGGTAGTACCACTTCGCCATCCCTCAAGCAGAAGAATGAAAAATGTTGATCGGCTATATGTTGGACAACAATTTTTTGATAGGTTAACCGTTAGGTATAGATACTGAAACGTGCGTATATCACATTATGTGAGTAATGGGTTTACTGAAGACTTTGAACATTTAGCATTTTGACAGAGGCCGACACGTGCAGAATCCTTACCCTCCTATCCGGCGCAATTTCACGAAACTGTTCAATCACATTTACACCATTCTTGTTAATTAAATGCCGACTAAATGTGTATAATTACATACATAACGAGGATGACGTCTCTCCATTTCAGACAAACAGTGGAAATATATTTGCCTAGTGTATCAGACGTGAATTGCTAGTGCATTTGTTTAATCATTACAGTTTCTGACTGGTGGAAGCTTTGTTCCTGATTATGTTGACAATGTATAATACTGTGCCATTTATTAGCATGCGCAGACTGAGTGTTTTTGTCACCTGTCACCGTAATACACGGGATAAAGCCTTAAATGGTAAATACTTTTATAAACCATCATTAGGAAGTTTGATTTTTTTCGGTGGTCTCTTAAACAAAGTCCGAGGTAATTGCTTTGAATCTATAATTTTTATGGGTTAAAAAAGTTAACTAAATCTATCTGAGATAAGAAGCTTAGGGTACAGCCTAGGGACCCTAGATAAGCGTCTATAGCTATTGATATTTAAATATGTTGATATTCGTTCTACAGGCAATGATGAATTACGAGTACAATATACAGGGCGAGTTTTTTCTACTGTTTAGTATGGAGATCCCGTACACCGCAAGAGATACAAAGTCGCCTAAAAGAGTAAAGAATTGCAGAATTTTATGTAGGTTAAGTATCACTTTCAGAGCTTTTTGTAGCTCTAAGGGTTTATTAAAAATTATTTTTTGATATCTTTGAAAATGGATCAAAGCCAGCGCATTTTCGAAAATGACATTTTTCGGTATTTTGACCATAACTTCGTTATTTGTCAATTAGAAGAAACTCTTTAAGGGAAACTTAATCTACATAAAATTCTGCAATTCTTTGCCCATTTAAGCGACTTTGTATCTCTTACGATTTACTAAACATCGGAAAAAATTCACCCTGTATATAAGAGATTTTTGTTCATGATATTAAATTGGGCAAAAGCAGCGATTAAACATCAATATGAGCAACGTTTTTGTTAAAACAGCCGTTTTTTACTTCAATACTTCCCCTCAAACTTTAACAATATTTTACAATTCCCAATTTTTCTCAAAGTCGTTGAAATGGAATTGTTGCGATTGGCTCCGCAATTTGGTCTTCATTTGCAACGTGTACACTGTTCATCTCATCATTTTGAACTCGTTCCTGAACCAAATGCGCCCGCGCATCAATGTGTTATAATAATAATAATAATAATAACTTTATTTACGCCATAGGCGTTTTACAAAGTAAAAAGTAAGAAACAAACTTATAAAACACATTAAAATATCAAATACATGGTTATTTAATATTAGCCTCGATAGTAACACTACGTTTAAACGAGAAAATAGTGGGACTGAAAAAGTCAATACTCGCACTGAACTCATTGATTAGGCCAACCATCCGATCCAATGGACTGTTCCGGAAATACAGCGTTCGATTGTGCCTAGTTTGCAGTAGGGGCATGGTACGGACGAAACGTTGTGGAACCCTGATGTTAATTTTTGATAAAATATCAGCAGAGTTTAGGTGACCATTCAGTAATTTATACCCGAAAGTCAAAGTAAGAAATGCCCTTCTTTGTTTAAGAGGTTGAATATCGAGGAATATTCCAACATGTTCAGTCGAATCTATATGTATCCCATTTAATGATAGTTTGAACTTCATCATGCGCAAAGAACTCGATTGAATACGCTGTAGGCGATTGATGTGGGAAACCATATAACGGAACAGTAGTCCAAATGGGATCTCACAAGCGAGAAGTATAGTGTCCTTAGAGCTGTTATACTACGGAAATCGTTACACTGGCGTTTAAGAAGTCCAAGCATTTTACTTGCCTTCGATGTCACTTGGTCGTAATGGAGGTGAAAATTTAATTTCTTGTCCAGTATGATGCCTAACTCTCTGATGGAGTCGACACTATCTAATAACTGACCACCAAGGTAGTAATTCGGCTCAGAAGGACTGTATTTTTTTGAAAAACAATAGTGGAACATTTATTCACATTAAGCTGCAAGTCGTTGTTTAACACCCAGAGTTCTAATTGCATCAAGTCTTGTTGTAGCATTGCAGTGTCATTGATACCACCAATAGCCCTGTATATCTTGAGATCGTCGGCGAAAAGCGCATGTTCAGATATAAATACTGATGAAATATCGTTAATGAAAGCCAGGAACAGTGGAGGACCAAGATGAGAGCCTTGTGGTACTCCTGATCTTATTACGAAAAAATTTGACCAGGTATCTTCAATGAGGACCTGTGCTGTACGGCTACTCAAGTAATTGTAGATCCATTTAAGCGCAGCTTCCCCCACACCATACTTCCTTAATTTGAAGATCAATATTTTGTGGTTTACTCTGTCAAAGGCTTTCGAGAAATCGGTATAAATCGAGTGTACATCATTGCCTTTCTCCAGAGAAACAAAGATGTAATTTAGATAGGAGAACAGATTTGTTTCAACCGATCTTCCGCTGATGAAACCATGTTGGTTGCTTGATAACACGTTACCAAGGGCCTTGGTGAACTGTGAGGCAACGATTGCTTCAAGTAGCTTTGGTATTGCAGATTGAATTGTAATGGGTCTATAGTTCCCGAAATCAGATTTGGGACCGCTTTTATAAACAGGCACAATCT